ATTATAATGGGTGGCCAAACTCGTCGTCCAAGGTAAGCCTTATAGTTAAGGCGACCACGGACGCGGAAGGCATTGTTGTATTACATTCTGTTTGTATAGAAAAAGCCAAAATCATACATGCCTTTCATACAGCGATACCACATTATCGAGAATTTATACTATAATCGAGAGAGATAAAGGGAAAAGATTTCATTGTTTGACAGTTTATAATGGACTTTTTTTTACGCAAATTAGAATGGCAAACAAGCTGACGGCCCACCTAATGGAAAGTGGTAACCGTCGCCTATAGATATGAGCAGTACCATGGAAATAACAGAGTCTACAGTTTCGCCCACGATAACCCCCATTCCTGAGGACTAATGTTATGTGTTGACCCGCATTATTAATTTTCGTAGCTCTCAAAATTTGCCCCTTAAAGTTAATATAAAATACTAATTTTTCATTATATTTATCTACTTGAGCGAAGTCGGAGCGTTTCAATAATATGTTATATACTAGCTGTGCCTGCTACTTCGTTCACACGAGTACTGTACTTTTTTTTTGCTGGGTGAAAATGGTATGGTAACCCCGCCTGCGCTAACGGGATACGCTGGCGAAGCACCAGTGAAAGGTGATAGATGAGAATGAAAACAGGCCAGTTAGCCCATCATGGTGAATTTATCAGGAATTAACCATGATAGTTTCCAGGGGGAACCGCGAGAAGGTTGATCTGGTTGGGTATGTTACTAGTAATGGGATTCTCAGTCTCCATTACTAACAATCCCTTTCCCCCCATGAGTACTGTACTGTCGTATGGTCCCAGGATAGAACAGGCCATCCCTTCCTTTCCCGAGGATGTCATAATAAAGGGAATGCAATGGATGAGCGTCTCTTTTAAAACATCTTCAAAGCGTCTGCGGTTGCCAATCCCCCTGCCAAACGTGGCAACTACTGTCAAAACCCCTCAAAGAGAAAGCTTATGTTTAGCAGTGGACAGTTAATAACATTATGTACGATGATCATCACATTCCATCAGGCGGGCCATTAGCTTGTTCGCTATTTTAAGTTGTATAAAATAGTACATTACTGCAGCGGCCACTGCAACTGAGGCATTGATGGACGAACGTACAAATGTGGGCCGAGGCGCAGCCAAGGCACACATACGTGAGTCCATCAATGCCTAGTTGTGGCCAAGGCTTGTATAATACTTTTCTCAAACAATGCGCGGAAATCAAAAACACAATTTTACTTTTTAAGTTCAATGACGAATAACGTACAATCATAATTTTTCACGCGCCATATTGTTCCTTTGTTTTTTTTTTTTTTTCAATAAACAGCATTCTATTTGCAAGCCAGTTCGAAATTTAAATAAAACCTTTTATTAGTTACCTCCTTGGTAGCCATGTTTCGAAGTAAAAGGTCATTCCATTTTTAAATTACAGGACAGATATGAGTTTACATAGTAATTTATCTGGCCGCAAACCACGACTGATATGGATTTTCATACAACTTTTTCCGGCCGCTGCCCGCATGTATCTGATCAGTACGGCAATTTTGATTTATCTCGAAGAAGATTGTCAAAATAATGCTCACATTTCCAAGCATGTTTGAGAAAAATTTTTTTTACTGACAATTACTATTGAGAATTCAACTTGTTAGTAATAGTTTTCTTAGTAATGGCCGCATAATTTATTGTAAGATTTTCCGTGAGAATAGAATTAACTGGTGAAGTAGATGATTTAGTTGTACAGTAACAATCAATGAGAGAAATGATCTTGAATATAAAACAGTAGTTAACGCAATCGTCATTGTGACGACACAATCATCGTAATTAGAGATCATGCGATTCAATCTCGAAGAAAAACTAAGATAATGAGATTATAATAAGGTAATGTAGGAGACTACAGCATGAGGAACCTCTTTCAGAAGAAACCTCTTTACCCCCCCCCCTTTTGATTCTTCAAAAGGGGGGGGAGTAAAGAGGTTTCTTCTGTATACCCCTGGTATTGCAAGTATTCATAGGCTACGGTAATCACTTACCATCACGTAGGCGGTTTTTTTTTATACAACTTAGAATGGCAAACAAGCTGACGGCCCACCTGATGTAAAGTGGTAACCGTCGCCTATAGACATGAGCAGTACCATGGACATAATAGAGTATACTGTTTCGCCCATGATACTCCCCATGCGTTATCATTCTTGATGACTCAGGTGTTATTCCTCTGTACCCTGTAAATTCACGCCATATCCCACCCTTCAAACCGAAACACAGCCATGCAAACACAACTGCTTCACGGTAGAAACACGAATGGGACAGAGGTACACAAGCAATCGATTTTTGTACAAAGTCTCCCTCTGGTCTTCTCTACCAGTCAACCATTGGACAAACAGAGAAATAAGTAGGCGGTGCTTTATTGAATTGAAGAAAAAATTAAGCAATAAGATTAACATACTCATACCTACTTGTACAACAATAAGTCCATTACCTTAAGGTTGTCTTGAAAACATTGCTCTCAGCAATAAGACCGCCTTACTGTACTTATACAATTGTATCGTTGTGTTTGTAAATTGTCTTGCTTATTTCCTATATTGTATAATGCAAATAAAGTATACTCATTCATTCATTCATAAGAGAAAATTATATTAATTAGAAAAGAGAAAGAGAGTGACTAATTTCAGTACTAAGACACCAAGAGCGTGCATATTACCCACTGTTGGTAACGCTGGTATTCTCATAGGTCCCATGGTAGCGTCATAAATACCATGACACCGAAGCTGCAATTATTAGAACACAAGACATAATATGTATACCATATATATCATATTAGACAGTTAGAAGTGGGTTATCTGAACTTATTTGCGGCAAAAATCCTTACAACGCAACATCAATTAAATCCTATAATCCCATTATTGAATCGTATATTAATTTTTCAATCAATTTTAGAAACCAGGTTTTCGATTCGGGTTTATATTTTTATATTTGTTACCTTATAATTCTGTCAGTTTTACGATGATTTAGATTTTACAACACAGGGGGCAAACGAGCATGCGGCTCACCTGGTGGTAAGTGACCACCGCCGCCCATGATCACCCACAACACCAGCGGCATTACAGGTGTACTGTCGGCCTTTTATAAAGGAATATGCTCTTTTCTTGATGGTTATGTTGTCGTATCGATTCGGAAATACTGCTGCTGGAATTTGATTCCAAAGAGTGGTTGTGCGTGGAAGAAAGTGCCTAGAAAAACGCACGGTGGAGGATCGCCACTCGTCCAGATTGTTGGGATGAAATTTTAGTTTATGGCGGGTTGTACGATGTTTTTTTTTTTTTATGAAAGGATATGCTTACAAATTGATAGTATACAAATAGAAATTTTATCAAAATGAGTTTAGTAGTCTAGTTTTTACTCGTAAATTAAAATAACTGGTTTAGTCACAATTGAAGTTTTTTTTGTTTGCCAGACATAACTTTAACTATTCTATATGTTAATGTTTTTTGCTCAATTAATTAATATTTTAAATATTTTTAATCTTGATTATAACGTACCAACAACAATATTATATTTGTTATGTATATATATTAATTCGTTTATATATGTAATTTTAGTATGTACGTATATCAATAATTACTAGTACCGCATTCGAGTATTTTGACACTTCCCTATAGTTGACTGGGAGAGAATGCTTTTAGCATTAAGTCCGCCATGTACACATATTTGTACTAATGAATGAATAAATAAATAAATAAACAATAAAGATAATTTTTTTTCGGCTTTTGTTTTATATTTATAGCATAAATAAATGAACTAGTGGTCGACCCGTGGTCGAAATTTGACCATAACATTAGTTTAGAATTGAAGAAAATATCGTGAAACATATATAATACTTAAAAAAATATACAGACCAATTGAAGATACCATCCTCATGGAGGTCTATTAAAAACCATTTCCCGTTGTTATTTTAACTTATTGCTTTAACTGTATCATTTAGTTAGAAAAATAAGTTGTTAGTTAACGTGGTAGCGTTATTAGTTAACTATTAATTGAATTTAATAACTCACTAAAGAGGAAAAACGGAATATAATTGTAATATGATGCGGTGAATGCAAGTAATTCGTTGAAAACTTGGTTTTCCCTATTAATAATAAATATGATTAACAATAATTAACCTTATAATATAATATACAAGGATTAGTTTTAAATACGTTCAAATCAGGAAGACGTTTTCCATACATTAATTTTTTTTTTGTGACTATATTATGCCATTAGATTCGTCCTCAATTTTGAACTAGTTTTCAATATATATAAATAAATTCTATATTGTATAATAGAATTTACTTAAAGTTACTTTGTTGTGACAATGACGTCTTTTTATGTCAATTATTAGCCAAACTTATGGAGAAAGCAATGAAGAGTATCTATCTATCTACTAGGTGTTGCTTGCAGCTTTAATAATGTTTTAAGTTTAAATTCAGATATCATCATACCAGCCTTTAACTGTCCACTGTTGAACATAAGCCTCCCCCTTAGGGGATTTTTCCAGAAGTTGCCACGCTTTGCAGGCGGATTGGTAACCGCAGTTAGGGTTTGGAGGTGTTTTAAGAGGGACGCTGCTGCCTATCACTAGTCTATCCTCTTAAGACACCCACGAGAAAGAAAGGGATGGCCTATTCTATGCCGGGACCGCACGACTAAAATTTAGGTATAAATTAAAATTGTCAATAAAAATAAGTTTCTTTGCAAATTGTCTTGGACTATTTATCTTGTTCTTTACAATATATTTGTAAGAAATTTTAACGGTTTACTTTTCAATTTAACCTTACAATATATATTTAACTAATATTAAACTCATTTCGAATCATGCAGTAACGTTTGTTGTAGTATTAAAAATTAATATGTTAAATGTTATAATATTTTTTTTTTAAGATTATAACAAGTTATTTACAAAACGCATTCACACACCAAACACAAAGAGTGTTACTAGTAAATAAAACATTTAATTATCTATGTTGCCATAACTTACCCGGTTTTGGAGATGGTGTATCATTTCTAAAATTCGCCATAATCACAATCACAGACTTAACACTTCACACAGTTGTTTCTTTTTTTAATTTAATTAAATTCGTTATTTAAATAAAATTATTTATTTCATTCATTTATAAATTATATTTATATAATATTCATTTGCATAAATGTACACTTTTAATTATATTTTTCATTTATTATTAAATTAATAATCAATTTATATTTTTATTGATATTTATTATATTAAAGTATGAAAGGTCGTTAATTATATATATAAATATCATTACGGTTATTCTGTCTAGTATAAATATTTATTATGGCCAAGGTGAGCGGTAAGGAAGTGGCGGCGCGTGCGCCGGCCATAATAGTAAGAGAGCGTTGTTTATAAACTGTTTTATATAAGCAATGTTACACTTGAACTTCACTGTTGGTACTGTGTTCATAATTTCTAAACTTGATGGACAAAATAAAAAATAATTTTTTTTTATTCAATTTTGGCCACCTTATTTATTACTTGTATTTATTTTATTTATTTATTTGTTTTCACTATAAAAACCATAATAACAAACAATCATACTAATAACCTAAGAGTTTTGTCATAAATGCCCTACATTCTGAATACTACAATATACATATGTACATATGTAAGGAAATTAATGATTATAAAATTTTAAATTGTAACTAAAAATTTATAAATTTCAAAGGGCATGTAATGTAACGAAACGTATCGTGCGACAGTGACGGATGATTGACGTTTAATAAAAAGTGAAAGAGTTTAGGAGCGTACATAGAGGGAACGTTTTTGAGGTGCGTGTGCGCAGCGCAGCTACTCCGCGGCAGAATTACGAGTAGGATACTAATATCCAAACAAACGACTTTTGTATAAAGACTCTAGCTTTGAATGATATCTATTGTATAGATAGATAAAGACCTAAATTATTATATAGGCTTCTTTATTTTTTAAACTTTATTTTTGCTGTCTGTTTTTTGACAGTACAAAAAAGGGTCCATTCTGACGCGTCATTTGTATTAATCTATCTCTAAAATTGAAATGTCAATTTGATATGACAGCTAAATATTTATTCTAAAGACCAATATGAACTAATTTTTTAATAGATTTAACTTAAAATTATTATAATTTAAGTTTATATTCGTTCATAAAACAATAATTTTGCAAAATTATTAAATAAAATAAAGTTAAGAGATAGATTTAGAGAAATATTGTCTCAGAATTGGTCCCATTGTTCCAGAGCTCGTATTATGAGAACCAGGTAGTTGACTTTATTAAAAAAAAAAATTTAAAATGTATTTATTGGAACCATAAAAAATTACAAAAGTAGGGTAGTGTACGATAACAGCCACATTGTTTTGCGTGTATATATTTCTTATTTACATATCTGTCTATCTGTAAATCAGCACTGCTAATGAAGAGATAAAAAGAAGAATAGAGAAATAAACAGCGCCTTATCAACCATACAAATGACTTAGAAAACCACTGCTATTATAGTACAATAAGCTATAACACTTAGACGATGGCTTGTATTAAATCTGAATACTAAAACTGAAGAGGTTCACAAAGTTATCAGCGGATTACTCCTCAGAACGTCAATTTTCACCCAAGATACTATCTGAATATGATTGTTAAAAAGGAGTCATTGGATATAAGATGAAGTAGAAAAAAATTATTTGTCCGAGTTTTTTCTACGTATTGGCTACCCCATCAATAGTTTTTTACATCATTTCCTACCAAATTTTTTTTATACTACTTAAAATGGCAAACAAGCTGACGGCCCACCTGATGGAAAGTGGTAACCGTCGCCTATAGACATGAGTAGTACTATGGACATAACAGAGTATACTGTTTTGCACATGATACCCCCCATGCGGTGCCATTCTTGAAGACTCAGGTGTTATTCCTCTGCACCCTGTAAATTTACGCCATATCCCATCCTTCAAACCGAAACACAGCTAACAAACACAACTGCTTTACGGTTGAAACACGAATGGGACAGAGGTACCCAAGCAAACGACTTTGGACAATCTCCCTCTGTATACACTTATATTGAGATTGAGGTATACCTTTTACTCTCAATCTAATAATATATACTCGTACAATAATAAGAAAAATAAGTATGTTTGATTGATAAACAGAATATAGATAGATAGACAGATAAACACTTTATTTGAATCATTTATGACACACGTAAATTAACAAATGAGTTTATATAATCAAATCACCTTTCCATTCTCTCTCGATCTCTAATTTTTCCAGTCGACTTCAAATAAAAAGAAGTATTCGGTTGCATTTTTTTACATTTGTAAACTTATAACTTCGTCAATTGTAAACCGATTTGAAAAATTCTTTTTTCATCTGAAAGACTAGTGCCATAGAAATTTTACTAAAATCTGAGTGCCTACCATGAAATGTTTTCCGAAATTTCGGAGCCAAACGAAACACAAATTTGATGTTAAAATTACATAATACACGCCTTTTGGAAATATTAAAAATATTAAAATATTGTTCTTTTGGAATTTTATGATAGGATGTATGACGAACGAAATGTTAAACTCCATTTATTGGTCCAATTTTGGTATAAACAAAAACACGAAATTGAGTCCGAAATTTCGGAATTTCATTTCATGGTAGACCCGCTGTTCAGTAGTATTTAAATCAAAATAATTGGCAACTTCCAACAACTGAAGTCTATTTTTTTCTATGAAACGTAATCTTAATTTTTATATTGTTACAAATGAAACCAGAGGCCGATCCTCTATCAAAGCAAGACATTCTATATAATGAGAAAGACAACGAAAATTTAGGTGCGCCCAGAGTACCAAACCCGATTTCGTATAAAAACATTCAATTCCTAAATTTACTCGACAGAGAATTGAATTTAAAATCTCTAAATTCTTATTCAAAGAAACGTTAACCACTGCACTGCAAAGGTCACCATAATATACAGAACGTACCTAACATATATTTGAAAGTAATGGCAGTCGCAATGAAGCATCGAACTAACTGTTTATTCCAGTACGAACTGGTTATGAAGGGCGTTGAAAGTTATGTTCTAACGAGAGAACGTGATGGAGTATTTAAAATTCGACTTTATAATTTCTCAAATCAAATGATTCACAAATTTTTGGCCCACTAATTTTTTTTATATCACCGTTATTAGAAAGAAAGAAAACATCGTAACATATGTAAGTCCGACTTTGTTTTAACACTATGTAAATTGTTAAGAAATATTTATTTGATATACTATAAAGATGGCAAACAAGCATACAGCTCGTCTGATGATAAACGGTCACTATAGCCTTTAAAATACGAAGGAAAGAAAATAAGAATAACGGCTGATAAGAAAAAAAAAATGGAAAGTAAAAAGTACGTATCTCCCTAAATCATGATACTAGAATGAGAAAAGACTCATATTTAACAGATAAAATTCATTTTTTATTCAAAAAATATATTTTACAGCATATAAAACAAAGCGTTTTCATTTTTGTTCAAAATATCGAAATAATAGACGTAAATTTTTAATATACTTTTATAGCATACGTAAATAAATGTATGGCTTTAAAAGTGTATTTATGAAATGTACTATTGTTTACTATTTTAACGAACGCCAAATTTTATTCTATAAACACCTTTTTCAATCAAAAAATACCTGAATATTTTATAAATAAAAAACATATAAATAACAGTTGGCAATTTATAATAAATCGCCTGACATTTACGTAAATAAATGGAACCGAATCGAATAAAAACTTATGTTCATTTTTTAACTATGTCTATATACATACATGCACAGCGGAAATTTTATGAATTTAATATATTTACCATTTCCGACAATTTATTATTTATTTATCGAAAACACAAAATATTTTGTATAGGATAGATACTACATAACGACATTACAAATACTATAAATTAAAATTACAGTTCGTTTAGACTCAAATACAATTCAAATATTTTTCCTTTCTTAATTATATTTACTTTGTAATTTGTATAATCAATATATGTAATATATATGTTTGTGCGTGTGTGTGTGTGTGTGTGTGTGTGTGTGTGTGCGTGTGTGCGTGTGTGCGTGTGTGTGTGTGTGTGTGTGTGCGCGTGTGTGTGCGTGTGTTTGTGTGTGTAATATATGTGTATATATAATATATTAGTTATACATATAATAATTTAAAACTTTTGCTCAAAAATCGTCATCAATAATTAATTTATTATCATTAAAATACTCATCTACATAATAATAATACTTATTAAATAGTAATGCTTTAAATTGAATTTTAAACGAAATAATATTACAATAATTGTTTCTACTTCATCGTGGAGTTTTAATTTAAATTCATAATGAAAATTATTCTGATGATCACTTGAGGAAAAGCAGTCATCAGCATCTATAGACACTAATAGCACCATGGCCATGACAATCAGTGACACCCATGGTGTCTGTCACTCTAGAGGGCTGCGATGTCATGCCTTCTAAAATTTACATTTTTTATGCAACCTAGAATAGCAAACAAACTAACGGCCCACCTGATGGAAAGTGGTAACCTTCGCCTATAGACATGAGCAGTACCATGAACTTAACAGAGTATACTGTTTAATTAAAATAATTTACCAGGTTTCGCGACGGGCTCCTCACACATGTTTTCCACCATTTCGATCACAACACAGCACTGATCACTTATTTAGTCGCGGTATTCGATGATCCTTTTTTTTTTCGAGTAGCGTCAATAATTAATGGTCATCAAGGTGGGATGAGGAAATATCGGCCCGAGCACCGGCCATTGACAGAGCGTTTGTTGAATATAAACCGTTTATATATGTGTGACAATGCACTTGAACATCGCTACGGCTGCTGTGTGTACAATTTGTTTAATTTTGTGGATAAAAAAATTATATATTTTATTTTATTTTTTTGGGCGTACATAATAGAAGTTTACAAATACAAAATTAAACTATAACATGCAAGTACATGTAATGTATTGACCAGGTAAACTTGCCACAGCATGATCCAATAATAAATGCGAATGCAACAAAGCCATTCGATTGCAATTATTAGTGATATAAATTAAACATAAAAAAGTAAGTTGAATAAAAAACAAAAAATTTCTTCTTCACAAGTTTTTAGAATAATAAATTTATAATAAAGTTATAATAATAAATACACTTAAGTCCGTATAACAATAAAATAAAATCAATAAATATAGCCTACGATTTCAAATTATACTGAAAAACCTCTGCTATGATGCACTTCATCTGTCAAAATTAAAGTAGTAAAAAAGTAGTGTGTAGAAATAGTCATAAACACATAGGTATGTGTATATATTATATAAT